TCTGCTGAGATGGCCCAGGTGGGGCTGGAAGACTCATTCCCAAGGCGGTGCACCCACAAGGCTGCGAAGGGTGAGGTCGGTCCCTCTCCACGTGGCCTGGCCCCGGGCGAAGCCTGGGCTCCCTCACCCCACGGTGGCTGGGCTCCTCAAACCAGCGTCCTAAGAGGCCGCAGCGACCAGTCTCAGGTTCTTCCTCCAAGCCACCAGAGCCACTTAACCTTAACCACACTGTCCCAGAGCGGGTGGGATGTCAAAGGGGTGGGCACAGACCCCTTCTCTCCACAGAAGCTGCATCAAAAAAAAAAAAAAAAACAAACCTTGGGCCACATTTTACAACTTCCACGGCATTTACAGCAGCTCAGTAAGGGGCACCCTCTGGCTTGGGTGGTGGAGCGCTCGACTCTGTCTCAGGGTTGTGACTTCACACCCCAAGGTGGGTGCACCGATTACTTTTAAAAATCTATGTACAATATAAAACAACTCAGCGGATGTGAGCTGTTACCCGGAGGGACGTATCAGCAGACCACAGAAGCCAGCGCGGCTGAGGCTGCTGTCCCCTCCCTCAGCGGCGGGCAGCCGGGGCAGGTGGGCTGCGCCGTCAAGAATCGCGGCGGGAAGTGACTGAAGTCCACCTCCACAGCGGCCTCTTCCTCCTGCTTTTGCGCGTGAGGTTCGTGTAAATTTGTTCTGAAGGCTTCCCTGGGACACCCCCACCCCCGACTTCAAATTTTGTTTCTGAAAATGATTATCGGTCCTTACGTTTCGGGAGCATCCGTCCTACTTGGAACACTGGCTGGATTCAACCTGGATAAAGGGAAATGTACCAACCCCCGCTTGTTTCAGGGCGGAGGCGGCGGTGTAGCCCCAGAAGAGCCGTTTTGGAAACAGAGACCTCTGCAAGCCTAGATGAGAAGAGGGGGCACCACTCCCCAGGAAGGTCAGAGGCGCTGCAGGGAAGCGATCCTCACTTTTGCCCCGAAAGACAGAAAGGTCCATCACCTCATGCATGGTAAGACCACCTGGCCGAGGCTCCTCAAGCATGGCGGGAAGGCCTCCTGACGGCTGAGGTCCGCTGTGGGGCAGGGGCAGAAGGGGTGGTGTGCAGGCTTCAGATTTACCACCCCGGGACCTGGCCACAGCTTCTCTCTGCTGCTCTCCCTGGACGTCTCACCCTCGCCAGCATCCTGTCGCCAACGCCAGCTCTTGGTGGCTTCAGCTGTGCTGGCTCTTCTCGGGCACATCTGTTCTCGGCATCCTCGCCTGCAGTCCTGTCGGCACAGGTTTCCTTCCCCTTGCGTGGTGCCTGGGGTGAAGCACGACAGGGCCACTGGAAGACGAGTGCTGAGGCTCCCGGGAGAGCGGGAGGGCCGACCAACGGCCCAGGGGCAGAGGGGCTGGCGGGCCAGATTTCTATATAAGCTCGTGTTGAAGAGGGTACTTGTTGCATCCGGCAGCGTTAAAAAAATACTAACTACATAGCTGCTGGAACGCGCCGGCTACCCTCGCTGATGGCAGTGTTCCTCGGGGAGCTCACGGTGGAGGCTGCCCGGGATTCCGACCCAACCAAGATCGGTCATTCCGGGGTGGGGGGAGGAGTAAGCTCCTCCTTAAATTCAGGTTTTTGTTTTTTTTTTTATGATGTTTTTCCCTATCCCCACACTACTGAAGGGATAATTCACTCTCTGGCATTATCCCCCAATTCTTTCATATTTCATGTTTCGACACCGGCCAGCCCGAGTTTACTTGTACGCGCAGTAGGACGTGGCTGCTGCGGCACCTTCCGAAACAGCAGCCGGCAGGTCTCGTACCATCCTCCACGAATCCCTCCTCCGTCTGCGGCTCCTCTTCTGTTCCAGCTTCCCGCCTGCTTCGCGCCTTCTGTTGCCCCTCGCTGTGCGCATCGCCGCCCACCACACGAGCCCCGCGGAAGTAGGCTGCTGGGATCCCGTCAGGGACACGAGGTCTACGCACAGGGAGAACCACTATCTTTACAGTATCGAATCCCCCCCGCGAGAACCCAGCACGTCCTTGGATTCAGAGCTTTCCCCTTTTTCAGCAAAATTTTATCATTTTACCCGTCTGAACCCTGGACAGCTCATTAGGTGTACTCCCAAATTCTTACTAGTTTTCGTTGCTACTGCATTAAAAAGTTTTCATTAAGTCCCTGACACTGTTGGGGAAGGCGACAAATTTATAGACTTCCACTGGTTTGGACTCTGAATCTTTCTTTAGCTGAAGGCGGTTTCACCTCCTACACTGTTCCGGGCTTCTGTTCCCCGCGCGTCGTCAGTGTCCTGTGCCTTCAGCTTCCAGCTCGTTCCACGGGCATCAATTCCGCCTTCGGCTGGATTAAGTTTATGACATTTCTTATTTCTAAGAACTGTTTTCAATGGCTAAGACGATCTTCAAATCAGCTTCCGATTCCCGTACTGGCAAGAGCCGACTACTGTTTCGAGATGCTGCCTGTCCTCAGGTGACGGGGGACTCTGGCACGTGCTCCCGTCTACGGAGGCGCCCCCCCTTGAGAGTGCACAGGCGGCTTACCGCAGACCTGGCTCGGCACCGCCTCCTGCGGTAGGGGCTCCTGGAGCGGCAGGCCGGGCCTCAGCTTCCATTCTCAGGCCTTCTTGCTGGGAGATGTCCCTCTCTTTTCTCTACGTCACACTTTCTAGTACAGATTTCAATGTTGTACCATGCATTTGCACATTTCAAAAATATCTTTACCTATCCCCGAGGCAGAAAGGGCTCTTCTCCCAGGCCTCTCTAGATGGTGTGCCCAAGAAAAACCCCTCACAAACATGCTCTCCAGCAAGTTCAGGGCTGTTGCCTCCCCTGCCCACCTCCACTGGTCTCGACACTCTGTAGTCTGGGAAGTGGCTCCAGGGCCATCGCCACCATCACTGATACCGAAGTCTTGGGAACAAAAAGCCAAGTCACTGAGTACCTGCCTTATACTGTGAGTGCTTGTCCTGGAGGCCCCGAGACTGTGACTCCCAGGCTGTCCACAGCAGGCGAGGAGAAAAGGCGTGCAGGCTGGTACACTTGGGATACTTACATTTCAGGTGCTTGGATCTTGGGTTTTGCTCATACTAAACTATTTCCCATAAATACGAAAACAATGAATTCATTCAGATGATGTGTATATCAACATATCTGGAGGATTCTAGCTAATGGACAGCAAAGTCAAGCGAGTTGGCCTAAATGGGAGGGATGATTCAACAGCCCGAGGCAGGCTGGTGTCAGGCATAGGTCATGCTCCCAGTGCTGCGATCAGGCACGCTCCTCCCTCTCTTGGCTTTGATGACCTGTCCGTGTCTCCCGGTTTTCCTGGGCTGCTGTGTACCAGCCAGGTGCCCTGACAGCTGACAGCTGGGGCATAGTGCGGGGGTGACCAAGATAGCCCCAGACTCATTTCCTGATCTCCTGGAGTACCACTCTAATCGTGAAAGGTCAATGATAAAGTCAACAAAGACTAAACCAGAATATGTCAAGTACAGGAAAAAATTATGAGAAGAAAACAGTAACAACAACAAAAATCAAGGCAAACACCCCCTCCCCAAAAAACACCCCCCAAATACAAGGAATTAGATGACCAGATTCGGGCTTTGATGTCTGAGCTAAGTGTTGGGTGACAAAACGAAATCAGCCATGCTCACGGGCGAAATGGTTCGGGCAAAGAAAAGTGGGCCCAAAAGCCGAAAGGAAAGGTGCTAGCCTGTTTTTCAGTTTTGTTTTGTTTGTAAAGATTTTATTTATTTGACAGAGAGAGAGAGATCACAAGTAGGCAGAGAGGCAGGCAGAGAGAGGGGGAAGCAGGCTCCCCACTGAGTGGAGAGCCCGATGCGGGGCTCGATCTCAGGACCCTGGGATCATGACCTGAGCCGAAGGCAGAGGCTTAACCCTCTGAGCCACCCAGGCGCCCCCTGTTTTTCAGTTATTTCTGCCATTTGCTTTACTCAGGAAGCCTGGGGAAAGGAGCCTGCACATAGTGAGCCATCTAAGGGCAGACTTTCTTTCTGACATCTGCACAGTATTTTCATGTAAAACCAATGACAAAGTGCTTCTGCAAAGGGAGACAGTGCCCCCAGGTTTTATTGAAAGTATGTGCAAGGCATACCCCCTTGAGCTATGACTGTGCTTAAAACATGCTCAGTAAGAGCCTCTGGTAAAAAAAAATTAAAATTTTGCCACTTAAATGCTTCATCTGACTTTTGGCCCAGTATCAATTGCAAAATCACTTCTGTTAGGAAAGCGTCGTTCAACCAAAATCCAGTTTTGTTTTTTAGGAACAGAGAACTGGAGGGAAACCCCAAGAAACATCAGGCCCTGGGCAAACTGGTGTGAGCATCTCTGTCCCTGCCTGTGAGGAAGGCTGGGACAGCTTTCTCCATGACCAGCGTCTCCTACAAGATAGCGCGGAGTGCGGGAGTCCACGCAGAGACGGCAGGAGGCTGGAAGGTGAGGAGGGCACGGAAGTGAGATGCACGCCACCCGCACGTCACACTGGCTCTCCATCGCTGACACTAGCACCGAGCTGTGACAAGCAGTTTGCACCCGGGGAACTTGGATTCTGCGGTCTGAGCAGAGTTCTTCCCCTGCAGTCATACCAGACCGAGGACCCAAGGACAGCAGGGCGTGCTCAGCACCTGACCCCTGCTAGGGCCTTCTCCCCGACCACCCCCCTCCCAAATCCAGAGCACAGGCTCTCCTAACCGCTGCCACCATCTACTCCCACTTGTCCATCACTCACTCTGCTCCCCGCGGCCTCCGAACTCCCAGAGAGACCCGCGCGGCTGTAACACCCAGCAGGCCGGCTGAAGCACAGACATCCGGGCCCGGACAAGTCGGCAGTGTGCTACGGCTCCCTGCCTTCTCACCCGCAGGCCCCAGGCAGTAACGGAAGGCCGGCACGTGCTGGAAAGGCCTGGCCTCAAAACGGCTCATGCAGCAACGCTCCGAGCCCCGCTGCGCAGGCTCAAGTTCCACAGGGCCCGGAGCAGCACATCACAGGTCAGAGACAGCTGAGCGACGGTCAGGGCGTGGTTCCTCCGCACAGCTGCCTGTCCCATCTCCGGCCCTCTGCGGCCTGGCCAGCGCCACCTTCAAGGTGGCAGCACCCAGACGCAAGCCCCGCAAGCAGGAGACCGCCTGCTGGGCTGAGGTGGGGCCCTCGTAGTGCAGGAAGGCCCTGCGCTGTGGCCCCTGCCACGTGAGCCTCTGGGGGACTGTGCCCAGCTCTCGGAGGGCTCTCTTCAGCTCACTCACTCGGGTGCCCCGCGGAAGGTTCCCGATGAAAACGGTGTTAGAAGGCCCATCCTCCCCCTGCCCAGAACAGGATTCAGGCTGCTGTGGGTCCTGGTGTCTTCTGACAGTGCTCAGGGGAGGTGGCTGCCGGCTGCTGGTTCCCAGAAGGTGCCGGGGCTCATCCTGAAGGGTGACATCTCTCCCAGCCTGCCTCTCTCGGCAACGAAGGCTTCTGAGTATGGGGACTTTCCCCATCACCTCACGGCTGACCTGAAAGAGCAAAGCAGTTCCAGCTGTCCGCGCGGCTGCGCTTGGTCCGGAGGGAAGAGGACTCGGACCGCACAGGGGCCTCTGCCTTCCTCAGGCAAGCAGTCTGCCTCGCTGCACCAGTGGTCCAACACGGCCCTCTGAGAAGCAGGACCCCTCTGCCTTAATCAGCCACTTTGACCCCACACTGCCCCAGCTTAAGTCACTCTGGGATCCCCAGAGCCACTCTGGACTGTGCCCGACATGCCACGGCAGCTGGCAGGCAGGGAATGGTTTTCTCTATCCTCCTAGAGGCCCAGGAAGCAGACAACCGAAGGCCTCCTATGCAGAAGGGACAGTAAGCAACGTTACCGGAAGGAGGGCTCCCCGGCCACAGGTGGCAATGCGCCTGGTGACCTCCAGAATAATGGGAGTTTCTGCCTCCATGCCTGCCCTGTCCTCACAACTTGTGCCTTGGGGTGGGAAGGGGTCTTTAACAAGCCACCCAGGCCTCCTCCTCCTCCCCACCTCCACTGGAGGAGCATTTCTCAGGGACCAAGCCTCTCAAGGTGTCACTGGAAATGCAGAAACAAGGCAGATCTGAAATAGAACACCACTTTGGAAAATGCTTTCTAGCAACGGGTCATCGAGCTCCCAGCTAACACTCCAAAAAACGTTAAGTCTCAACGCACGGAATTCCTATACAAAGGAAATGTTTGGCTTTTTGGGAACCTGCAACAAATGAGGCAGTAGAAGAACCTCAAAACATGAGGCGGTTCCTGGTCCTTGAGAACTGGGACTGACAAGCGGGGCCTGCGTGCACAGGGGCTGCCCGGACCCAGCTTGCAGTGTGCAGGCTGACGGTCCCAGCCCGGTGCAGCCACCGCACGTGGCACGGCCCTGTGTGTTAGGCTGAACCTGGACAGTGGAGCCCGGGGCAGAACTGGTCTTCTGTCACTTGAGGAATCGCACGGCAGAAAAGACACAGCAATGCACCGTTTTAGTCCTTCTTAGCAATCCTCATTCTTCGGAGATGCTTTCTGCCCTTCTTTAGGGCACAAACCCTGTGAATGGCCAATTACTAAGAGGCGGGCAATGGTCCAAACACAGGACTTCCCACAAACATGGCTACTTCAGAATACAGATCAGCACATGAGTGAGACAGGTAAAACTTCCGTCTAAAAACAAAGAGCTTAACGGATAACGGATTCCTGTTGTTCTCTGCACCATCTGTAACTGGAGTAATGGTTCTGACCCTTGCCAGAGAGTCAGAGACCTCTGCAGAAGCTCCGGCTCCTCCCCGGGAGCGAGTCCCCGGCAATTCTGCGTGCGATTTCCCGAACTCTGCTCAGAGATCCCCAAACCACAAGAGGCACACAGGCCCCAAGTGAAGGGTCAGTGATTCAGAGGAAGAGTCAAAGAAACTTAAACACCTAAAAACAATCGATTCCAGTACCTTCTCACAGATGTCAAGGCTCCTGATCCTCATTAATCCAGCACCTGGTTCTCTCTCCTAGCACTAACTGGATGACACTCTCCACCTTGGCGCAGCCTTCCCACTGGCTCCGAGCCCTCTCCAAATGGACAGTGCCCCTGCTCCCAGCACGGCCACGTCATAAGCCTCTGCGGGTGGCACTTGTCTACTGGGGTCTTCAGAGCAGCACACAGATGCCCGGATGCCAAGGACTGGTCAAAGAAAGACCTGCTCCTTCTAATGCTCCCCATTATTGAGACACAGAGAAACAAACAGAAACCATGTCTGCACCATGGAGATATGCAGGAGATGTAACGACTCTTTTTTAAGCAAAAGGAAGTTTTCTTCCACTTGACTCTCTGCAATTCTTTTGAACTGATTCATCCAAAGATGACTAAGCTCACGGGCCAGTACCCCGAGAGGCTCTGGTCCCAAAGAATCCTAAAAATGACCTAAGTCCAACCAACCCAACTCCTGCCCACACCCCAATTCCACCTTCTTCAAGAGTTCAGATTCCTGTGTCCTCTCAGAGTTTTCAAAACAGATTTAAACTGGTCATAATTAGATTCTTTTTTAAGTAAGCTCCACGCCCAACATGGAGCCCAGCTCAGGGCTCCAACTCACAACCCTGAGACGAAGACCTGAGCTGAGACCTAGAATGGGATGCTTAACTGACTGAGCCATCCGGCTGCCCCTAAAATGGTCATAATGAGATTCTTAAGGATGTCTTAAGTTACTAGGATCTAGTAATTAGGGAGGATGATCAAATTTAAAATTGCCATTACAATCAGAGGAAACGTGACTACATTCTTTTATGGAAAAACTGAGTGTCACTCCACTGTGACACCAGCAGACAAGAGCAGCGAGGCCAAACCCCCTGGCGAACACCACGCCTCCTCCAGTGCCCGCCCGGAGCTCTCTTGCCTGGGTGACCGCCCTACGTACTAAAACTCCCATGTGTTTCTGCCTGGTGGAACCACGGGGCTCCCTCGGGTCAAAGCCAGTGTTCTCAGGAAACCCAGCCCAGGGGGCAAGGCTCCACACTCACGCAGCAGACATTCATTTACCGCGTGTCGTGGGAAGCAAAAATACATCCTTCTCTGCCCAGCACAGGCGGCTACTTTATCCCGAGCTGGCACGCGGACAAACTGTAATCAGCTGAACAGCAGCATGACTTAACCATGCACAGATTATGAACTAAGTCTACAGCACCGCCACACACACGCGCACACACAGACTCATCTTTAGGAATGGAAATGGCCAAATGCGTCACTTTTACGTAAAACCGCTCATCTCAAGAGCAGGATGTTTTCTGGGTAAGGAATGACAGAGCTTAATGTCAGCTCATGCTTCTGCGCCCACAAGTTCTAAATGGAAAAATCTCCCTGTCGACAAGGTGGCTTTCGCCACTTTCCCAGCTGTTTGCCATTTCTGTGCTCTTTGCAGAGTGGCTGGGGCCGACGGCGCTCCCTCAGCTGACACAGAGGCCTCTGTGCCCCAACTGAACGGGCTGGCTTCACCCTCGGGACGGCCCACAGCAGGGCCACGCTGTTTTTCCTGGCTAGCAATTAGGAACATTTGTTACCTTCTGTAAGTGTGCCATGTGAAATGAAAGATTCTGCCTGTTAATCAAACATAAAAAAATATTTCTGCTTTTCTGTAAGTATTCCATTCCATTGTACAGACCAAATATGATTTTTTTATATGTTACAACCACGCTTCTCTTACGCTTACAATGTCATTTATAAATATGCATTCTCTTTAAAGATTAAATGAAAAATCCGATGCCCTGGAAATACCAGCTAACTGCAGTACAGACAAGGAATCTCACTCTCAAGGCACCCGTGGCCAACCCAGGACGAGACTCCGGCCCTAATCTTGCCTCCACTATCCACCGGCTTCATAATCTTGAACCTGTTGCCTTTCCTGGCTCTCGCTTAACTTGACCAGAAGACACAGAGACCGGGAGGGATGATCTCTAGAATCCTTACCATTCTAAAATGTCAGGTCATGCTTGGGCAGCTGCCGGCAAAAAACCAGGAACACCGTTAGTATTTCTAACGTGAAATACAACTTTCACCAAAACTATTAGTTGTCTTGCATGAGACTAGCACTTATCGTTCACTGACTGAAAACACTCTTACATACAGCACTTTCCAATGACCAAGGCGAAATCATTCTCTAGAGAAAGCATGCCGGAGAGCCACTGAACGCACCGTCGTCCAGACGCAGTTCACGCCTGAGCAGCACGTGTTTGTCTTCCAGTTAGAGCATCTCCTAATGACAACAGGACTCATTTAAGACATCTTTTTGCACATAGTTGGTCAAACGTGTCACTTACTGAAAAGCCCCCATGGCATTAGTCCTTTGTAATTATGCTTTGACTGTGGGAGCTGAAGGACCAGCAGGGCAGTGACCACACACCATCACTGCTTCAGACCATGCGCACCATCGAGGCGATGGTTCTATTGGAAGCGGCCATGGAAGTCACTAAGAAAAACTGTTTAGGGGTGCCTGGGTGGCTCAGTGGGTTAAAGCCTCTGCCTTCCGCTCGGGTCATGATCCCAGAGTCCTGGGATCGTGCCCCACATCGGGCTCTGCTCTGCGGGAAGCCTGCTTCCTCCTCTCTCTCCACCTGCCTCCTTGCCTACTTGTGATCTCTGCCTGTCAAATAAATAAATAAAATCTTAAAAGAAAAGAAAAACCATTTATTTCCTGGTATACATGATCACTTCAAAACCTTTGCCGCCACAAGACGCCAGCTTCCAGCTGCAAACCACAGCTCCTGCCTGCCTGATGCTCTCCGGGGGCAGGGGCAGCGTAACAGACAGGCCCACAAGAGCAGTGAGGTCCCCTCCTGCTGGGCCAGCTCAGGGCCAAGTGTGGGACGAGTTCATGCCCGGCAGCTCGAGGCTCAGTTTCACACCCAAGTGTCGGCCACAGGGGGATGAGTGGCCCACGCAGCCCACCTCACACACAGGCATATGCCTGGCACGCACAGGCATATGCCTGGCGCACGCAGCCTGGACAGTCCAGTGTCACCGCCACGCACAAGCACATGACTTCTAAGAGCTGGTACACATTTAACCATCTTCCATCCTGGCTTCTCGTTTTTACCACTTAGGAGTATGCAGAGAATAGAGGCTCCTTGTGGAACCAGACGCAAACACGCCTGGGTGGAAGGTTGCCCTTGGAAAATGGTTTCAAATGTCCTGCTTTCTCCACTGAATAGTGTTGACTATAAAAGTGTATACTTTTTTGTGGGAAATTTAGAAAACAATGAAAAGAAATCTGAAATCCCAACTTGCAGAGAGAACTACCGTTAATGTTCGGATACACTTCACCTGTTTTTTCTTTTGGTGGGGGGAAGGGGTATAGGGACAGGGAGAGAGAGAATCCCAAGCAGGCTCCACCCCAGAACACAGCCCAAGTGGGCCTCAACCCCATCACTCTGCGGTCATGACCTGAGCTGCAATCAAGAGGTGATGCTTAACCGACTGAGCCACCCAGGCACCCCTCCATCATTTTTCTATACATGTTTTAGCATAATGAATATAAAATAATATACCAAACATGTATGAATGTATACTCTGTGCTTTTTCCACTTAGTATTTATTATAACATCAATGTTTTCTCATGCCATTAAACACTCTCAAAAAAGGCTATATGCACTTAAATTACAGGGTCGGGGAGCTTTAAGGCACCACGTTATGCTGGGTACTCATGCACCTCTATCTAAATTTGTAAGTATTTCTCTAGGACAGATTTCTAGAAGTTCAATTATTGGGTCAAAACCAGCATATCTTTTCAAAAAGAAGTATCAGCCACTCTAACTTGCTGGCCCAGGTCTGGGTAGGCGTCTGCTCACCTCTGGCTGTCCTTTCCAGACAACAATGCTGATATATGGGATCGGAAAGCAAGCATCAAGGTCCCAGAATGGCCGTTTCTCACAGAGGTCCTTTTTCCAAGCCCTTTTCCTCAAGGCATCTGTCATTCTCCACAAGTCAATCAACAGGGCCTGGTGACCATGTGGGAAAGACCCGCCCCACGGCGGTGGATGCCCCAAGTCGCTTCTCTGAGTCTGCACACACAGGAATGACCCTGGCAGAACCCCACTTCCTGAACTACGGAGAGAGTAACTGAGGAAGGCAGACATCCAGGTTTTGGTCAGTGTGTCCCACTGCTCTCCTTTGTAATCAGCGATGGTACCTCTTCCAGTGACTGTGGGGAGCAAGGGGGCTGGGAAGCCGTCCTTCGATCTGTGGCCTTGGTGGCAAGGAGCAGTCTCGGGGTGCCCTGGCTCTCTCGGAGCTGTGGCCACGCCCCGCTGCCCGACCGTGTCTCCAGGGAATTCCTGAAGTAAGTCTTACACCTTCTCCCTGCCTCATTCTAGCTCAGCAGAAAGCAGCAGAAGCGGGATGGGGCTCGGCTGTCCAGAGGCTCAGCCCAGTGGGGCCACGTGAGGGGACCACAGTGTGAGGGAAAGCCTGGAGCCTTGCCCACGCAGAGGGCTCCGTCCTGCCGCTGCCTTCCAGGAGCTCGTGTGGGTCCAGCTCCCAAGCAGGCGCTTCACTGCTCCGCTGTGACTCCCCACACCGCACAGCCCTGGAACCGACCGGCCGCGGGCAGCTGCTGGAAGCTAGATGTGGGGACTTCGGCTACCGTCCGCGCCTCCTGCCAGAGCTGAGGGATGCAGGCAAATGGCTTCTGAGCCACTGCAGATCACCTCCACGTGGCTGTGGACAAGCGGGGACATCGGGTTGCCGTCCCAGAGACGTAACGACTGCCCGGGCTGAAGTGCTGCCCAGAGGGTTAGGACCCGCCCCACGGCCAGGTCTCCCACGCCCCGCGCCAGCCTGGCCGAGATCCTGGGGGAAGCGCTTCCTGTTGCCAGGGCGGACCTGCTGGATTGGAGCGGGGAGCGGAGCTCGGGGAGTGCTCGGTTCCCAAGTGGGACAGTCACGGGACCCTGTAGCTCAGACATGGCCAAGTCCCCCAGAGCTCTACAGGTCACCCGGCGCACAGCAGACAGGGCACCCGAGAGAAAGGAGGACCCCACATGAACGGAGCAGACACACCTTCTGGAAGGAAAGTCTTTTCCTCCTTCACTGAGAGGCAGTAAAGGGCACACGGTGACAGCACAGTGCCATGGAGACACACGGGCAAGGCCCCGTCTTGGCTCAGTAAACCACTCAGAGGGTAACCAAGGATTCTGCCCGCAGCGACAGTGTCCAGGCACATTTCTCACACTTACCTACTTGCATGGCACACCTGTGACGGCCCCAACAGCAAAAATGGCCAAGTTCAGCAGGCACTTGGCGGGTATAGCCTGTGAGGTCAGCACTGACAGCACCCCACCTCGCAGATAAACAAATGGGGGGCCTGCAGAGGGTGTACCAAGGTCACAGATAAAGTGACTGAGATGTGTTGCTGTGGCTTCTAAGCCCACTCTAAACCACTGTCCCACCTGGTCCCCATCTTTAAAACCACAAGGCACAGGCAGAGAAAAGCAGGTGCTGCGTCGAGGAAGCCATCTGTCCGAAGTAGCTACAGCCGACAGCGGAATCCGTAGCAGCCTGGTCCCCACACGGGGACACCATGCACATCCCTGAGAATGTGGGACAAAGGCCAGGGAGTCAAGCGTTGCACAACCTTTGTGTAGTAAGAACGAGTTAAAAGTGTATCACATTCCGTGTGTGTTCCACAGCCCTCATCTGAGGCGTCTACAGTGTTTAGAAGGAACAGTGATGCCATACATTCCAACGAAATACATAAGAAGCAAATTCTGGGATTCTAATACCTACACAATGATGTCTATGGGTAGAAAATCACAGAAGAATATGTCAATGCGTATCAAGACTCCATACAAAATAATACCATACCCCAGCACCGAACTGCCCCTGCCCCTCCCCAGGTCTTCAGTGGAATTCAAGGATGGTTTTCCCAGTGTCGAGGAAAACTCGCTCTGGCTGCACACACAGCAAGGCCAGAACAGAAGCCCCAGGGGCTGGAAAAAGTCGCTGCTTTCCCAAGATTCATGGAAAAGGAGGCCCAGGGTTGGAAGAACAAAGAACCCAGGACGCCAAGATGAGAAATGGCATTTTAGAAGTTTGTAATTCTTGCCTAGGCCTCACTAGCAAGGAGGTGTTCCGGGAAGAGAGTGAGACGGTTGGCACGTCAACAAACAGCGCCAGCCCCGAGAGGCCGCACACAGTGTGACCAGCTGTGTCGCTGGCCCCTCCGGTTCATGTGGTTTCCTCTCACATACAGGAGGCTCCTCACCTGACATGACCAATAAGATCATCTGTTGCTACTTTTTGTTAAAATTAGCGGGATGTAACCGTGGCTATTCCCCAAAGCAGCACGTCTCTCTCTTTCTGGAGAGACCACTCGGCGTCTTCCTAAGGTGAGCTGCAGTCGGCCCTCGTGTATGAAGTGCTGGCCCCCGAGGGACCTGCAGCCTCACTGCAACTAGCCCCTTGTGCGGCTTCCCCAAACCTGTCCTCTCCGCTGTGAGCAAATGCCACTTCTCTCCTCTAACCCGTGGAGCAGCCTCCACCTAGAAGTCGTGGACCCAATTCCAAGGTGAACCCAACTTCTTCTGAAAGACACCAAGGGGCATCTGAATGTTCACAAAGCGTGCCACTGCCTTCCCCCAGACACTCGCCTGCACTCAGAGAGACCCATCCACTCACTTCTAGGTCACGCGTGCTCCTCCTCTCCGCTTCTCTCAGGGCTGACCTAGAAGGGGAACAGGCCCCAGGCAGCCCAAAACCACCTGCCCGTGGCATTTGTGGGAAAGGCCCACTGTGCCGTGGTGTTTCACTTTGTTGCCAATCTCAGAGGTGGATGTGACTGGTTTTCCATGCCACGGGAAGGCTCCTTTCCAACTGTGATGATTCGGGTTTAAGGAATGGAAGACATGAACAACGGCTTCGATCCAGATGAAGCACAACTCTGTTTCCCCAGTAACTCTGGCTGCTTGCCAGCAGGCAGGATCATAACCTACAGGTGGGCCTCTGGGACAGGACTCCCTCTGTAGACTACTGTCACGCATGCTAGTGACTGTTCTGCAGATGAAGTCGCAAAGGCATCAGCCTACGGAGGCTGTGGGTACTGCCTGGCGACCCAGGTCACAGCAAGACAAGCTAGACTTAGAACAGGAAAGCTGATTAGACAGCAGGTTGTCGTGGCCAGGATGGTGGACACAGCTCTCAGAGATGAAACCCGCTGGCCAGCACTGTGTCACGGCATGGGTCCTGAGTGGACTGTTCCTTCTGCCATCTAGAACTGGTGTCTTGCCACAGGAGACCTCGAACCTGGCTGCTTATCAAAATGCCACAGGTTTGCAAAGGAGATTCTTGGGCCCATGTCTGGAGACTGTGATGCAGGAGCTGAATTTTCAAAAGCTTACGGGTGATTCTAATCCACAGACATGCTAGGCCTAGGGATAGCTGCCAAAGAATGCCACACAGGAGGAGATGCCTCCGAGCTATAGGCCACTGCTGGCCACAGGACCCACCTTGGACCATATGATTCCCGTCGGCTTTGGGCGCTCACACCCCGTGACAATGACTCTCGTCGGAGTGAGAATGTAGTCCACTGTTAGGTCGTGGTCCTCGAGCAGCGCTTCAGGTATGTCGACGACCTGGTCAGACAGAAGTGGGTGAGGGAGCTGACGGGGAATGTGGCTCCTGTGCTCACTGCGCCGCACGGCACAAGCACAGGGCTCACCAGCCTCATGGGGTAAGGCTTCACTGCCAGACAGCTCCAGCTCTGCCAATACCACCACTCCCAGCAGATGTGGAATGAAGGCAGACACCAGTCTGTCCCTGTGTGTCTGTCTCCTTCCCTCCCCGCCCGCTCTCTCAGGGGTATGGCAGTAGCTCTGTTTGGCCTGTCCATGGGCAGCACCTGGCAGTCATGGACGATGGTGACCACAGGCGTCCCCTGGCTGACTGCTCCCATCGACACCATCATGGCATATTCCAGATCAGCGTAACCTTCTCCCTTCCCAATTCTCCAGCCTAAGAGACACGCAGAGCATCAGTACTTCAGGAGGAAATGCTTCATTAAGGTTGTAATGGAAACAGAAACTTGGACTCGATATCCCTGGCACCTCCTTAGAAACGTACAGAAAGCCCACAGGGAGCCCTCAACAGTGGGGCGTGGGGGCACGCCGACGCTGCACACATACCAGGGTCAGCGCACGGTGATGCCAAGCTTGAGCCTTTTAGTTGTGCTACAAGAGGCAACGGAACCTGCGTTTATGTGAGCAGAACTCACATTTTAAAGCAATAAAAGAGTAGTTTGGTTATTTAAAAAGATTTTATCCATTTATTTATTTATTTGACGGAGAGAGACCAGCGAGAGAGGGAACACAAGCAGGGGGAGCGATAGAGGGAGAAGCAGGCTTCCCACCGAGCAGGGAGCCCGATGCAGGGCTCGATCCCAGGACTCCAGGATCATGCCGTGAGCTGAAGGCAGATGCTTAACGCCTGGGCCACCCAGGCGCCCCGCAAGAGTAGTTTTTAAAAAGATTAAAGAACAAATTCCCACTAAAACCAAAATCTTTTAAATCCATTTATCCTGGAGAGAAAATAAAAACTAAAATCAGGGATCTGCATTTCAAGAGGACATCACCTTGTCCTCTGGAAAGTCCAGCAGGCCCTGGAAGAGGCCGGGTCTGGCAGAGGCCGTCCCTCACTGAGGACTCGGGGCTGTGGAAGGCTGAGCTGAAGGTGCATGAGAAGCTGCAGAGCAGGCGAGAAAGCAGCACGACGGGAAACATGACAGCACCCCTGGCTCCCACAAGAGCCGAGTCTCCCACATCAGGAAGCCCGTGACGCTGCCGAAATTCTAACTTCCGCTTAACATCCGCATCAGCATCCTCACCGGGGGCACCGACGCCCGAGCCTCTTGCGGACATTCTCACCCGTCGTCCTACTTCTGCGACTACCAACCTGCGACCGTGCGAGCCGAAAACCGTGAGAAAGACAGCGCGGTGGGGAAACGGCCAAGGACAGGACAGTCCGCAGACGCGGGCCGGTAAGCGGCAAACGTGAGTGATGACCACCTTCCCTCGCCATGAAAGGCCACTCCGACGGCCTACGAACCACCACTGCTCACGACCGGACCGGTCACCATGGAGGTCTGATGATTCTAGCTACGCAGAGGGAGCAGGCAGAGAGGTGCGGTGCGGAGCCAGGGACGGGAGGCCACCTCACAGCGGGCTGTTGAGCAGCAGCCACCAGGATTTCAAGTCCGCGCTTCGGTCCGACAGCTCCTCTGCTGGAGTCATGCCACGGATGGCCCTCGAAGGCACACAGAAACTCTACCACACGCTACACTCACTTCACTGTGATCTGCAAGGGAAACGCCAAAACCAAACCCTGGTGACATCTTAAGTGCCCATCGGATGGGCGTCCTCTAGCAGGGCACAGAGAGCTGAGTGCTGCTGCCTCTCCCGGGAAAACAGAACCAGGACAAACACGACCCACACACAGAACGCGGGACACGTGTGTCGACACAAGCAAACGCCGACACTGGGCATTTGGGAAGAGGGTGGCTCTTCTGACCCACCTCCCCAATGTCCGTGCTGACGTCAGTGTGCAGCACCAAGCACACCACACCAGGGTTCAGCTGCGGCGTCTGCTCTCCCGGGCACTGTGGGCTCAAGACAGAGACCACCTTGGCCTGACACCTGCCCCGCAGTAGGCACCCAGGAAACGTGTGCTCCTGGGAAGCCATCCCTGATGACACAGATGACATGTTGTCACTGGGAGCACAGGGAAAGCAAAGCACGCTGCACTACAACGTCTCAGGGACTACTGCAGAGAGCCGGCAAACACTGCATGCTCCGGGTGAAGGCATCAAAGGCCAACATTTAAAACTACGACGCTCAGGGTTTGGAACGAATGACTTAAGAGCATCTCTCGCAAACTGTTTGTTGGAAACCTCTCTTTAAGGAAGATCTGGGCTTTAGCTGGTTAATTTCCAAAGGGGCAGTGTTCAGGATGGGCATCTGAGAACAGTCTTTTTCCCTCCTGGAGGGAAGGAGCAAAGGGAACGCCTTCCCAGCAGGGGCGCAAACCACACTGAGCGAGCCAAGTCTGTGACCGGCCGACCCGTCCTGGGACCCACTGAGCCCGGGGCAGTATAAGCAGCAGCACACCCAGACCGTCTCCTGAGAGCGCCGAGCCGGGACTGGGGTAGAGCAGCAGAGGAGGAGGGACAGGGGCCCAAGTCCCCCAGGCAGCTTGGCAGACGGCAGACAGCAGCGTGGGACACCCTCCCCCTCCACCTGCCTGAGTGGCACAGCACCGGGCCTCCCCACGTAGGCTCAGGACACCCTGTGCTGCCCAGAGGCTGCTGCTTCCTAACAGAAGCAATGTCTGTCCGTTCACTGGAGATTTCCCAAACCAGCTATTTACTGTCGGACTGCAAACAGACCCGGCCCCGGTTCCAGGCAGCTCAAGATTAGAGGAAACCTCTCACCACCTGAAGAGAGAGGAGCTGCCTCCATGTTTCCCGCTAAGGAAAACGGTGATGCTGTGAAGGTGCTGAGTGTGAGGAACCCAGTTAATTCTTCAAGACGAATGGGAGATACAGTGGCTTCAGAGGACAGACGTGTGTCCAGAAAACTGAAATTACTTACCGTCGGTGTTTAAAAGATGAACACACGGCAGAACGTGAAGCTGAGGTCGCCTCCAGGAGTTTCTGATTTTAATCTTACCTTTTTCAGAAACAGCAACGGACCCCACCACAACCAAGTCCACAAGGACCCTGGAATCCAAGCCCACGGGAGTGCTGTAGCTCCTCACGCCCTGTGGACACAGAGGGGGACCTGAATGCTTCCTGGGCAGCGAGCGGCTGTCCCACCTCGCAGTTCACGGGCGAGGTGCACTCAGGGTCTGGGTCAACCTCCTGCGAGAAGCAAACTCGCCCAACAGCGAGCACGCAGCACAGAAGCGCATTTAGGAAGACCCTGGTTCAGAAACCATCGTAGGATAATTTCCCCAAATTTCTTCCACAGGAGAGATCCCACTTGGAACCGAGAGCACGAATGAGTTAGATGTTAAGTTTACAATACTGAGCAAATCATTTCTTCCCACACGGCAGAAGAGCACAGAGGTTAGACCACCGGCACAGGAGTCACGGAGAACCGGGTCCAGGTCCCCCTTAGCCCTGTGACCTCGAGAGGAGGAAGCTGACCTTCCATTTCTTCACTTCTAAGGCAGAGCTGTCACCCGCTGCCCTGTCAGCCTGGCGCTGGGAGGCAAGGAGATCATGGAGGTAGTGCATTTGAGCACATAAGACGTGGGCAGTTAATGTGTGGGACAGATGACGTATGAAATCCCGGGGCTATTACCTTCAAATGTAGCATCTCCACTTCCAAAATAGGACTAGTTCAACCAAAATGTACCAAAAGTACAGACGTTTACACTAACGAACAGACGCTTGTATTTACAGAGTAGGGAGGCTGATATGGTCATGAGTCTCAGATAACAAGAACTACAGGTCAATTGAAGAGCCAAATCCGGCCTCTGTGCAGACCTCTGCCCGACACAGGAGGGTCACCGAATATGGTATAATGCCTCGTCTACAAGTACATGACAAGCCACTTATGGGATCAGTACAGAGAGCTGGTTTGGGGCCTCTCAGGAGTCATCAGTCACCAGCCCACTGTGCCCCACGGTGGGAAGGCCCGCCCACATCCTCAACCCTGTTTTAAAGGGATTGGTGCCTGGCAGCCTTGGTGAGCAGAAACCTGTGTTAAAACCGTCCACCAGACTTCCTCCTCCCTCCAGAAGTCAGCTTCACCTGCTCTGCTGGCCGGACAGAGTGTGAGCAACCAGGAGACTCCTTGATTCCCCAAAGTCCTGTTTGATTTAACAAAAACTCAGCTGACAAACATTTCTGTGTGTCCGGAGAGGCGGTTGCTGGAAGACTCCTGGGTTAGAGAATAAACACAAAAACACCAAGACCACAAAGGCATCTGAGACATGCTGGAGGCAAAGGCTGTAAAGGGACAAATTCAGAGATTTCTCTGCCAAAAAGTAAGGCCATATCTGAGTCTCCTAGAGTTGACCCACACGGGGATAGTATTTCTGCCACTGAGCTCTGGCAGAGTAAATAATGATCGCACCAGGACCCACACCTGCACACAGACGTGGTCCTAAGAGCCTCTCTCCCCGTGCCATCAAGACAACGGAAATGTCCTGTTCAGGTTCCTGTATCTTATGTGCCGACAGAGCCCAAACTCTGCTGCTGAACCCTTAGTGAAGTTCAGTCACGAGAGCGGGCCTGGCTCTCCCCGAGGCCCGGCCACACTTGCGGGGATGCGTTTAAGGGACCGGCCGGCGCCGGCGCAGTACAGGGAACCGCTGTCAGCACACACCACAGCGCTCGCCTTTCAGAGGGACGCTGCTAAGGGCGACACAGACGAGTACACCTGACACAGGCCCCTGCGGTGGGCCCTCAGATACATCTGACCTGGACCTCAACCACCCCAGGAAGAGAAGCGCTGGTACTTCCGAAACCTGCGACTCGTGAGCCGCTCACCACACTCCCTGCCAGCTCTGGAAATGTCAGCTCCTGTATGTGGCCCGTGTGGCCCGCTGCAGGCCATCACACAGTTTGCGTTTTTGACACCGACCAGAACATGACTGTCTTATATTTCTAATTTTCCATTCGCACTTTTTTTCTACATACATTTGACTGTTTTACTTTATTACACACACTTCTGAAAGCTGTAGCAATCTGTATTTTTGGAAAAAGGTTATCAATAAATAACAATATAAACATTCAATTTTTAAATATCAGACCTAAGTGGAAAATCTTTTTTAAAAAGGAGTATCTCGATGCCCTATTTTTAATTCCTAATAGATTAGAAATGAAATGACCTGCGGTCTACTCTAGGAGTGTGAAAAAAGTCACCGAATTCTATTTCTTTATCTGCAAGACACAGGACAAATCCCCCCACAGAGCACCCTAATGTAGTATCGACAAACTTTAGTTTTACCACATTGTGAACACTGGAGAAGACCACAGAACTGAATTACTAAAGCCATTACTCAGAACTGGCAAGGTGATTTCCAGTCCCAGTATTCTGGAAATCCCTGAGTCCCCAGCTGCTCTGGTGGCACTTAAGAAAATGCCGGACCACGGCACAAGTTAACACCCGAAGGCGCTAGAGCACCACAGAACTTGTTTTCATTTTTAATGGGGAATTTAATTTAATAGGGCACAATCTGCTAACTTGGGACAAAAGAGAAAGTGGGTGACTCAGACGGAAGACACACCCTCACGGTTTTCTCCTTGGCTCCCTCACTGACAGGAGTGCTGAACACTTCCCCATCTCCACTCCTCTGGCTTTGTGAAACACAAACTTCGATTTTGTGGCGTATTTTATGCATTCTAACTCACCAGACGTCTCGGCTGACAACCCTGCTCCCCTGTGGTGAGGCGGCTCCTGCGCTTACCTGAGAGGTGGCACATGTTCTCAAGATGTCTTTCGTTGCCCCGGGAGGTGGTGTGATCTTATTAAATAACCCCGTTCTCAGTCGTGGTGTTGGGACCAACAATGTTTTTTTGCTCTTTTAAAAAAAGATAATAAATTACAAAATTAAACATAGAAAATTTATTGCATGTGATAGCATTTCAGGGGTAAAACCAAATTACTATTATTGGCATCTTTTGGTGTGTGCCAAGGAAATGATCCCTTTGCAAACCCAATTAAATAGCGCATGGCGGTCCACCTTACTCAGGGCCACTACCCTACCCACTTAGGACGAAGAGGCAGTGAGTCGTCAAACTCCGGAATTCTACTTTACTTGCCACTCAAAAACACTACAGACACAAACTGACAATGTAACTCCCAACGAAGACCTGTTCTCATTAGAATTCCAACCAGGACTTTCCTGTGTTCTCCCCTCCCAGCATCACACACTATAGTTACAATGTTTCATTTTTTAAGATTTTCTTTATTTCTTTAGAGAGAACAGGAACAGGGGGAGGGGCACAGGAGGAGGGAGGAGGAGACTTCCCACAGAGCAAGGAACCCGCTGTGGGACTCGATCCCAGGACCCCAGGATCATGACCTGAGCTGAAGGCAGGTACTTAACCCACTGAGCCACCCAGGCGCCCCCGTTTGAAACCTGCATTACACCTCAAGCCTTCACGACCAGTTTGCTGTTCCAAAACTTCCAGCGTCGGAGATCAGGCCTCATTAGAGTCGGTATTTTGTATTAACCTGAGTCCACAGCCCCCTTTCTTCTATTTAGTCCCCAAACACCTTGTTCTGAGTCCCAGAGTGGGGACTTGCAAAGTGCAGGCCTCTGGCCAGCAACTGCAGCCCCTCGGCACCTGTGAGAAATGACCAGAAGCTTGGGGGCAGGCACAGCAATCTGCTTTCACAAGCCTGCCGGGTGATCCTGATGCCCAGGAAAGTTCCAGAGCCACTGCCAACAGGCATCTCTGCAGATTATGCCAGGGCAGGCCATGAGGCAATTGTAAAATTTATAAAATCTAAGCTGTAAAAAGAATGTATTTTAGTTTTGTGCAAAAGAGGACAGCCGGAGACCAATGTGAGAGCTGTAAAATCAAAGGCTGGCTTACTTAAAGCCATGAGAGAAGAAATATCTCCACACGGATCATGAGCACCTGCTCTTTTCCTGCAGAGTGTGAAAGAGCTTTGGGCTCATTCACAGTCTGAAGATTCTGGTGCACTGCACGTTATCCTGGTCACTCCCTCTTTTCTGGAAGCCGCTTATACTTTAGAATCGCCTGGGGAGTGGGAGTGCAGACCCACCCAGAGCATCTGATTCAGGACCTGACCATCCGCAACGGATGGTTTTCTAAGTTCCCTGGGCGGTGCTAATGTGCAACCAGGGTTGGCAAATGCTGACCTGCCAGTGCTTCTTTTTTTTTTTTTTTTTAAAGATTTTATTTATTTATTTGAGGGAGAATGAGTGAGAGAGAGCATGAGAGAGGAGAAGGTCAGAGGGAGAAGCAGACTCCCCAAGGAGCTGGGAGCCCAATGCGGGACTCAATCCTTGAAGTCTGGGATCATGACCTGAGCTGAAGGCAGTTGCTCAACCAACTGAGGCACCCAGGCGCCCCTGCCAGTGGTTCTTAAGGCACCACCAGTGTGTTTATTAAAAACAGACTTCAAGGGCACCTGGGTGGCTCAGTTGATTAAGCGTCCGCCTCTGGCTCAGGTCATGATCCTGGGATCCGAGGATCAAGCCCCACATCAGGCTTCCTGTTCAGCAGGGAGTCTGCTTCTCCCTCCCTTTGCCTTGTGCACACACGCACTCTCGCTCTCAAGAAAAGTGGGGAGCGGCACCTGGGTGGCTCGGCTATTAAGTGTCTGCCTTCGGCTCAGGTCATGATCCCAGGGTGCTGGGATCGAGCCCCGCGTCAGGCTCCTGCTCAGCAGGAAGCCTGCTTCTCCCTCTCACACTCCCCTTGCTTGTGTTCCCTCTCTCGCTGTATCTCTCTCTGTCAAATAAATAAATAAGTAAAATCTTAAAAAAAAAAAGAAAGAAAAAGAAAACAATAAAATCTTTAAAAAAAAAAAAAAAAAGGACTCTAGAAACCTATTGAAGATCTGGGGTTGAGCCTGGGAAACTGTGTATTCCCAAGCACAGGCCACTGTGTCCCCAGGCATGGACTGTGGCCACGTGCATCAGGATCCCTGCCTGTACTTAGGTGTAGTCTAGGGCACAGGGACCACATACGTCTTCATGTCTTTTTCACCACCATATGCCTGTGCCCACCAGAGAGCCTGTACTACCACAGATTCTCAAAGCTTGGCTTTCCTGCCCCTGAATTAAAGAAGAGACAGTGAGGCCCCGCTCGTCCATCTTGCCACCCGGCTGTGCTCCTCCTACAGGCCGTCTTGACAAATCTTCAACACACTCAAGGCTTTGATCCGTGCTCTGCTGGGCTGACCGGTACGCCCCTCATACGCGCAGAGCTGGCTCCAGAGTCAGCGTGGGTTGGAATCCCGGCTTCACCATTATTGAACAGGGCACCTGGCCAAGTCACTTGACCTCTCTGCGTCTAGCTTACTCCACGTCATTTGGGAACAGAGATCACTCCCACAGGGTTGTTGGCGGAATTAGATGAGGTAAGAGCGCGCACAGTTTCCACAGAGCTCTGTCTTCACACAAGGCAACCACTCACTTGGGGCTCTTCTCTGCTGCCATTATTTCCTCTGGTTCATTCAAGCGAACTACTGACTGGGAAAATACAGCGGGCAGGAGAGAAGGCTTCCAGAAGGGCCTGAGTGGGAGGCTCCTCTGGGGCTGGACTGCAGTCAGCTAACAAAATGACCCCCGACACGCAATCCTTGAAGGAACCAGAGGAGGATCCCCACACACACACACCCCGCCCCATTCCCTGTAAAATCCCTTCTCCACACGGGCTGCAAGGTGCGCTGTGTGACCAAGGCCTCACGGGAGCGGTGGGAGAGTGGACTGGCCACACAGTCGCGGCCGCTAAGGAGAAACTCAGCAGATCTGGATGCCCATCCCCGACAGCAAAGCGTCTCAGCAGAGCAGCCCCTGTTGGCATCACTCAGGGCTGACACACGGATGCTGCTGCTCGGGCAGTTTCTATTTAACTTACGGGTTTGTCGTGGTTCTACAGCTGCATCAGAGCTATAGACACATAAACTTATACCAAGTTTTCTGATTATACTTATTAAATTTAGTGAATTTAGGGGCGCCTGGGTGGCTCAGTGGGTTAAGCCTCTGCCTTCGGCTCAGATCATGATCTCAGGGTCCTGGGATCGAGCCCCGAATCGGGCTCTCTGCTCTGCGGGGAGCCTGCTTCCTCCTCTCTCTCTGCCTGCCTCTCTGCCTACTTGTGATCTCTGTCTGTCAAATAAATAAATAATCTTTAAAAATTTTTTAAAAATTATAGTTTAAAAAAAAATTTAGTGAATTTAAAGCAACCCTAAGGGAGGTTTTTTTCCCCCTCAAGCAAGGGCCTATGTATGTAAGTTAGGAAACACTGTTCTCATCAATAGATTTTGGGGATTCCATCCTATTTCTTACTCATGGGTCATCACGTCTCAAAGAATTATAATATAAAAGCAGCAAAAGGAAATAAACACAACCTTTCCCTTCTGAGGAAGCACATCAGACTAGACTGCCTCAAGGTCATCACTGTGAACATCCTTTATCTCTGAATTTAGGAACATTCATGACTTCTGACAAATCAGAGCATTCTGGACTGTTCCTAGAAAAAACAACTCCAAGGGTCTGTTCTGCGTGGAAGCGAGTCAGAAGCACGATCCGCAGTATGTCAGCCGCACACGCGTGCCAGCCGCCGGGAGAACGCGCTTTATCAGCGGCCAGGATGGCGGCTCAGGGAGCGGGATTACCTGCAGCGCCAGCAGCCGAACGCCTTCCAGTGGCTTGTCGGGGTCCACCTTAACTTCCTGCGCTCTGGCAAAAACCTCTAGTTCTCTGATGCTCTGGCCAGCCAGGTAGGAGCCCTAGTCAGGCAAAGAGACAGAGCTGCACTCACGGCGAGGACGAAGGAGCGCGCTTGTCTGCGGAGCATCAGGACTGACTTTAACCGTTCTGGCCTCTTGGAGCGCCTGCAAGCGTGGGAAATGCTCAGCAGCAGGGGAGGCCCGTTTTCAAACGCGATCGCACGTTACTGACAAGACAGCACGATCCTGGGCCGACGACACGCGGGAGCGGATTGGTCTGGCATCTCACCCAGGCAGGTGGGGCGCACGAAGTCGGAGACAAGATCTCAGAATCGCCCAAAGCAGTGTGGGAAAGCAGGGTAGAAAGGGGCTGAGAAAGCTAGCTCCAACTTATTTTTAACCACGCTAAAGCATATATTCCAAAAAAGGGTAGAAAGTATATAGTCTGATGAGTTTTCACAAGAGGAACACACGTGTGTAGTAGCTGCCTAAACCCTGAGTGCATGACCACTAACCCGGAATTCCCTTTCTAGACATTTTTTACCGATTCTGTGCACCTTTCTCTTTTCCCTGTACTTCATGTACACTTCCCTCCCGGAGATAACAAGCACCAAAGCAAAACAAAGTAGCAATAAAAACATCCAAAAAGAACAGTTTTTCAAAGGTACAGGATGGCCTCAGAACCAGCTCAGCTGAGAACCAGAGAAGGGTGGGAGCTTGTTCCCAAGAAGCCAAGCATGGGGAGACAAAGTCCAGCCAAAATGGGTGATGACGGAAAGTAAATGAGCCACACATCCTTTGGGCCTGATAGAGTCATCAGTGTATTTTCAAAAATCCCTTTGTTTTCCTGTGAAAAACATGCATGCTGAGATTCTGAGCGGTGTATGTTTGCTCATTGAAGCAAACTTATTTCCTATGAACAGCGTCATAAACAGACATCTTTATCTTCTTTCTGAACAGTGAGGAAACTGAGGCCTGAATCATCCATCAGGGACCGGCAAGGCCTTTTTCTTTCGAAAGGCGCTGGCCCAGGCCCCCCTCTCAGAGGGCATCATTCCTTGCTGTTCTTAAGGGAGCCAACTTGGAGAAAAGGGCCACAACAACAGTAGCTGTAGCATCACCTCAAGGCAAGACATGACCAAGCCACCAACCCCGCACAGAATGGCAAGAGGCCGTGAGTGAGGACTAAGGAACCCAGATGAGGGACATCTCAAAACACAAAGGACATGCAGGCCAGTGGTGTGAATTCTGCACTACTGCCCACCGTTCCCCCAAAGCAGATCCACCGTGAGCCCGGACAGTAACTGCGTTACTAACTCTCTCATTTAGGAATAGCGTGTTTTCCCTCTGACTGCTGAGGAATGCTTCAGTACCTTGAAGTTGGGAATCCTGTGATGAACGGGCCGGGGGAAATCAGCTAAATGTTGTGATTCCATGTAGTCCCAAATCTGCTGACGAATGTCCTGTTTGGAAACACCTACGGCAACAAAGAGTGGAAGTAGTTAATGTGGCAGAAAGGAGTCCGGCCGTGTGCCCGGGCCGGGGGCTGCTGGGTGCCTGCCCCGGCGGCGCCCTCCGTGTTCCGTCATGCCAGACCAATCCAGGGCTTCTCCACTCTGTGGCGAAAAATCAGGGTCAGTGATAAACTCACAACATCAAGTCCAAAACCAGAGCAAATTCAGTATAATCCAGGTGTTGAACTTAGCTGTACCGGCCCGCAGCAGCAGAAGAAAATGCGAAGCGAGCCCCGTACCCCGGCTACCCTCAGTTCTTGCCTGGAAACGCGCATTCTGTTCAGTCAAGGCACTGCAATCCTCGCTCTAATCATTTTTTTTTTTAAGATTTTATTTATTTATTTGGCAGAGATCACAAGTAGGCAGAGAGGCAGGTGGAGAGAGAGGAAGGAACCAGGTTTTTTGCCGAGCAGAGAGCCCGATGCAGGGCTCGATCCCAGGACCCTGGGATCATGACCCGAGCTGAAGACAGAAGCTTTAAGCCACTGAGCCCCCCAGGCGCCCCTCTAATGAGTTTTGATGCAGGTATGATTCATGCGTGCAGGCTGTGAACCCAGAAAGCTTGCCTTAAGCCTACATGCTTTGCAAACCACCTACTGTTTTGCGATATTGATTACAACCTCCTGCATTAGTACAGCAACAACTTCTTCTACACCCAACCTCGGAAGCACACTTTTTGTCCACAAGCATTCTTTCATTATTGGATTGGAACAGTCTGAATGAAATTTACATTAGCCGTGTGTTCCTCTTAAGAGTGGAGAACTATATAAAGCAGTTTCCAGTTAGATAAAAAAACAAAACCAGCACCTTCACAAAGACATATCTTAAAAATATTTACTGAATTTTCATTTCTATTGATCCTAAAGGATATCCTCCAAAGGATACTTGAACTGAAGTCTGTTTCAAATCACCTTACCTACTGGATCTGTCTTCATAAAAGTCTGTCACGCAGCCAGCAGTGAGAACCAGGAGGCAAGGAACTCCCCATGAGGTCGTCTCACTCACTGGTGAATTCTCAACACCAACCTTCCCTGACTGCTGGCGAAGAGGAATGCGGCCTACCCTGTGCTGTCTGCAAGTCACCGTAGGGACACACATGCACGGGGCTTAGGGAATGCGCACCTCCCAAGCGGGCAGTGAAAGCCGACCTCTTCCTTCCAGAGAACTTAAGTGCTCGCCACAGTTAGACGTGAGGTTCTGCATGTACTGTGTGTGGCTGAGGCACCTCTCACCGTCTGAGCAGAGGGGAGGGGCAGGTATGGCCTCACAGGTCCTCAGTCTCCCTTAAATGAGGGCTGGATATCGAAAAGTGACCCATGGGAGCAGCCCAAGTCCGGAGACAGCTGGGAACCACCGGGATGGGTGCGGTGGGGCCGGCAGCCGGCTTCTCAACCAGACATTTCTGAACTGTATGGCCTCCAATCGTGTCAATCAGTTACGTCCTGAAAGCTCCTTTTGCATGAACAGACTCTGAAAACAAGCAGAGGAAACTACTGACAAGCCTCTCTCTTTGCTGCCTGCACCCCCCAGGGCAATCGGTCAGCACACCCCTTTTTCCTCACGAATTCTTCTCCAGGTACTGGGGCGCACACAGAGACCCTGGCTGTCACGCCCTCTCCCTAGCGTGGTGTGCTGCACGGCACACACTGCCCTGCAGTCACCTTGCAGATCTGCCCGGGGCTACACGAGAGTACCTCGCCCTTTCGGGAGGCTGCACGGTACTCCGTCGCAGGGACAAGCCAAAGTTCACTCAGGAAGCCCTTTCTGAAGGCCGTAGGTGGCTTCCGGTCTTGTTACTAACATGCGCTTTGCCACCTGCCCACATTACCTCCATGCATTACCCTCCACGTGTAGTCCCGAGGAACACCGGCCAACAGCTGAAGGCCTCCGATGCCTACGCCCTCGGGCTGGGCCTACATCTCCTGTGGACAGGGTGCAGCCCCGCCCTGGAGGCCCTGGAGCCCACCACTAACGCTTCTGGAGCTCCCCGCCCCTGGCAGTGCTAAGCCACCTCCGAAGTGAAAACCGCGGTTTGGGTGTGCTCCGTTGTGCTCCGGGAACACGCGTGTGTAAGGTGCAGCCCCAGTCGGCTGACAGGCTGTGTCTGGTACTGCCTTGTGCGTTCCCGTCAGGACCCCAGCACAGAAGGCGTCTGCTGCCAAACCTGCTGGGCTCTTTGTCCCTTCCACAAACTCACTCTTCAGGGCTCTGTTTCAGCACCACCGCCAGGAAGTCCTCCCCGCCCCTCCCGGTCCACTGCCTGGGGATCCCTCCGTCACAGGGTCCCAAGGAGGTCTGGCCTACGACGCCGGGCTTCCCACTTCAGCCTCACCGCCGTCCCTCCTCGCTGTGGATTCAATGTGGCTCGCGCCTGCTGGTCCCCGCTTCCACACACCTGCCCTCCTCTTTCTGCCCTCCAGGCCTTGGTACATCCTCTCCCTCAGGCCTCCCCGACACACCACACCCCGGAGGCACCGAGTGCCCCGTCACACGCAGCTGTCCCCCCTTTAGCAGCCAGAGCACCCTGCTTTTTAAACACAATTACGCTGGCACAACTATTAGGTTATTTACCACTTTCACGAACACCCGTGGGTGCCACAACGTTCCCAACACCGTGCGGGACGCGGTGTGGGGCACGAGAAGTGCAAGGGATGGGGACCCTTGCTCTGCAAAACCCACCAATCGCGAGCATCTGAGCGACTCCCCTTTAGAAAGCGATGCCGACTGGGGGCGCACGGGGGTAAAAGGGCAGGTCCTTGCCCTTGGAAAAGTTACAGGAACACCGGAAATACGCGGGATAATAAAAGCCGACACAGACTTGGTGCAGTGCCCGGGCCCTGTCGGTCGATGCCTGCTGACCTCCCCCAACACGGGGCTCCGTCCGGTCACCCAGCGTCTCGCTCCTCCGCCCACCTCGGCTGAGCTCGGCCGGCACTGGCGGGTCTGAGCCGGCGGCCGTGTGCCGGGCGCAGGCTGTCTGCACGCCGCACAGCCGCCAGCCGGGGAGGCCAGACGCGCGCGCCCGTGTCGCCGGACCCGGCTCCGCCGGACTCCGCCGCCGGACTCCGCCCCCGCCCCCCGGCTCCGCACCCGGCTCTGTCTCTGCCAAGTACGCCCGCACCCGTCTCCGAGGCTCCTCTCCGAGCCTGGGGGCACCGAAGCTCCCGGCACGCGGGCAGGGCCGGGCACAGCGCTTCAGAGGACAGTGACTGAGCGGCCATCAGCCGCGAGCCCCGGTCTCCCCGCTGCCCCGTGCGGACGCCAGCGCGGGTCTCGCAGGTGGTGGTCATGACCGGCCGTGACCGGCACGCGGCCCACGCGCTCGGCAAGCAGCCCTCCCTCTTCTGCCCGTGTCTCCGCTCTGCCGGCATCAGGGTCGGAGACCGCGGTCCGCTGGACCTCCGAGCCCCGCTCAGATCCCTCCGCGTCCCCTTCCCGCCTGTCCGGTGCTCCCGCCCCGCCCCAAGACCGTCCGCGGCGGCCCCTCCCGCGCCCGCCCCCCGCCTGCCCCTCAGGTGGGTCCCTGTCGACCCCTCACCCGGCGGCCCCTCAGGTGGGTCCCTGGTGGCCCCTCACCCGGCGGCCCTCCCGCGCCCGCCCCCGGCCTGCCCCTCGGTGGGTCCCCGGCGGCCCTCACGCATCCGTCCCCTGCCTGCCCCTCAGGGGGGTCCCCGCCCGCCTCTCCCGCAGCTCCTTACCCGGCTTCAGCGCCATGACGACGCAGTCGCTGAGCGACGACTCCAGAAACCAAATCCGGCGCGGAGTGACGTCACTCGCTGGCGCGCTCTCCCCGCGCCTGCGCGCTGACAGTTGAGGGGGGCGGTAGCGTCGCCTTGGAAGCCTGGTGGGAACAGCCCGGGGCGCGCATGCGCGTGCGTCTCCGCGGGCCGTGGGGAGGGACCGACCGTGGCGGGAAACCCGCGTGGTTCCGGGGCTGTCATTTGTTTGGGGAGCAACAGAGTGTTGAGCGCCTATTCTCAGGGGCGTTTGTAAGGCGCTGGGGCTAGGTGAAGAAGCCCCTGGATTCTCTGAGCCCACAGCCAATTCCAACATACTCCAGCTCCTTTTCTGTCCCCCCAGAGGCCCCCTCCTCCGGGAAGCCAGCCTTGATTGCTCTTCCAGGATGTGATTCTTCCTCTCTGAGAAAGACATCCAAGTGCTCTCACCTGGATGCGCATCTACCTCAGCTGTGGACACTTTAAAATGTCAGGTTGTAAGGACACCTGGGTGGCTCAGTCCATGAAGCCTCGGACTCTTGGATTCAGGTCCCGTAACGAGCTGATGGTCGCGGAATGGAGCCCCGAATCAGGCTCTGCCCTCAGTATGGAGTGCGCTTCAGCGTCTCCCTCTTCCTCTTGCCATCTCTCTCTCTCTCAAATAAATAATACAATATTTTAAATTAAAAAAGTAAAATTAAATGTCCGATTGCTGGAGTGGGATTCGCTGCAGGTGGGATGGTGACCAGCCTGGGTGCCGGGTGAGTTGAGAAAGACCTCTTGATTTTACCGCGACCTCTGGATCTAGGGACTGCAAGGACGTGACAGCTGCAACACGTAGGGTGTGTCCGTCTAAAGTCCAGGAGGTGGCTCGGAAGATGGGGCTGAACACACTAGCCCACTTGGAGCCCTCTCCGGGCTCAACTCCAGCGGGAGAGAGAAGGAGGTGCCTTCGCCCTTTAGAAAGATGACCGGTCTTCCCAAAATGAGGCTGTCACAAACCAAGTCACCAGTAACCACCTGCTAATGAGTAGCTGCACACCCTTAGCGGGGCGCCTCGTGCATCCCAAGCCCGCAAGTACTGGCGGCTACTTTTTCAAAATTGTATTTCCAGTACTGGATACCATCCCCGTGACAAGCTTGTGAAACAGACAAAGCATTTTAGAATCGTCTTCAAGAATGGGGAAGCAAGATTCTGGGGGTCGCAGTGACTTCTTGGAGCTCCCACAGAACTAATCCTATCCCCTTTGTAATCCTATCCCCTTTGTCTATCAGGTAGAACATAATCTGCGACAGTAAGAAACACTGCTACAGACATACCAGGCACCAGGCTAGCGGCTTTAGCAATCATACCTAAATACAGTCCTCACAATGACCGTAGGACAGCAAATGTGACCGGCCTTCCACAGGGGAGGAAACAGAGGCTCAAGACATCAGCGAGCCTTGCCCAGAGCCGCCCAGCTGGGAAGGGGCAGCACTGGGGCTTAATTATAAATCTCGGGCTCCCGGTCCCAGCTCTACATTCCTGGATGGTGTTCATGGCGTTCATACGTAAAGACATTAACAGGCCTTCATTCCACATGAGGAGGGGGGCCGTGTCTCTTACAGGCTCGCAAAAAGGAGTATAAAGCTTTGCTTTGGACAATAAAAGGTTATCAAATAAAATCTCTCAGGGAGGTCAGTGTCCTTTCCCACTCTCGGGAAAACCCAGTAGATCTGTGGAGAGTGTTTTAAGCAAACTGACGTGCAGCAGGAGAAATGTGTGCAGGTCTCACCGTCAGCCAGCTGGGCTCAGAGCAGCACCACAGGGGCTGACCAACGGCCCAAGTCCCTCAGGCGGACAGCCTGGTGCATCCCCCAGAGAGTAACAAGCCACCTACCCACTGGGGACAAACTCCCTCACTGGCAACGTCAGAAAGCAGGTGGCACTGCCCAGGACATTCCCTTGGACCCCTCATTCCCTGTTGCCAGATTAGAAGCACCCCCAGAGCCCAGGCACTTAAAAGAATAAGTGGTTTTGAAAGACAGATGCCTAAGGAAAAAATTAGTTGCCTCTCCTGTATAGAAAGATGTTCTAGAACGTTGACCCAAATGCTTCAAACTCAATCCTATATATACATTTTCACTCGGGTCACTTGCGAGGGTTTTTTGTGTTTTTTAAAAAGATTTTATTTGTTCATTTGACAGAGAGAGAGATCACAAGTAGGCAGAGAGGCAGGCAGAGAAGGTGGGGGGAGCAGGCTCCCTGTTGAGCAGAGAGCCTGATGCGGGGCTCAATCCCAGGACCCTGAGATCATGACCCGAGCCAAAGGCAGAGGCTTAACCCAGTGAGCCACCCAGGTTCCCCACTTGAGAGTTTCTTAAGAGTCCCAGTAGAGCCATTTTCTGGTTGCAGCACAGTTGAGCCAAAGGCACAGAGAGGTTCCCATAGACCGCCACTACCTGCCCTGCCTGGCACAGCCTCCCCAGGATCAGCATCCCCCCTGGCACAATAGTGCCTTTGCCACCACCACCTCTGACACATCATTATCAACATGGACGGAATGTCTCTGTCCACCCCCCGCCCATCTCATATGTTGAAGCCTAATGCCCAACGTGGTGGCTTTAGTGGGTAGGGTTCCTGGAGATGACAGGTCCTGAGGGCAGAGCCTCCTT